TGCCCTGAACTTGCTTAAAACTGTTATTACCCGCCCTTACCCACGAGTCCAAGACCCGTTTGCCCAGCCCTACTCCTAATGCTTTGCTGATGTAGACACAATATACTTAGCGTTGACTTCTTGGATGTATCATGTTATGATTTAGTTGATACATGCGACATAGTTTTCACATTTCTCATGTGTGGCGTAGTGTGGCACAGTGAGTCTTAGAACGATTCGAAGATTTTGCAACTAACGTCTATTTGGTTGACCACCAAGGTATTGCGGTGTTCCTAACAGTAAAGACATAACTCATTTGAAAATGTGCGAGGGTCATACAAATAGTTCGTGTTAGCGTATCCCATAAGGTATGCATTTTTTCGGGAACCAAATAGGTGTGATTCATTCTAAGATGCATAAGGTTAGAATAACCCCAAATCGTAATAATGGAAAAACGTCCTTAACACCAATTTGATGGTGGCACATAGGCATAATGCTACTTATGCCAAAAAATTATCGACAATAGAGATGTTTGATCTAGTGCTTTGAGCTAAGTACAATAAAGGCTAATTGCATTTAGATATGGAACTTTAGGCTCCATAACCTCGCAAAGGTCTCAATTTCATCTAGCATACGAGCAATTAGGGGTATACTCGGAAGTAACACCTTCTTGGTGTAGTTCGATTGGTGGACTAGAATACCATCAACACTATGCTCGAGTTTTCCAAGATCTTTCATTTCAAAGTCTTGACTTCAGGTGCAAGGCAGTTTTTTCAAGCTTCGCATGAGTCTAAGTAAGATTTATGTCTTTGATATGAACTGCAACTTTAGCAATTTCGATTTTATACACGCAGGGGCATATACCCCTAATTGATTAAATATTCACTTGAATGGGTATACCACATCCCTATAGGTTGTTTTGCATCCATATAGTGAAAGCCTCATCTAAATCGAGAGGTGTTATGTGGTCTAGAAATCTTTGAACTAATTTATGTGATTCTCTAGGAACTTACATGTAGATTTCGTGTCATGATAACAAAGATATGTTACAACCACGTTTATAACCTACAATCAATCGAAGACGCATGAGAGAAGCCTTGTGCCATAAGGCAGCATTATATCACACTATTTCATGTATCTCATTATGGTTCCCTTTGTGTTGGATGGTATCGAAATTACTAGCCCAAACACTTTCCACTTAGTCAAGAAATCTAATGGATTGTTTTCAGTTGGCCAATCAGTTCCATATTGCCACTAATCTATGGAACGCAGTTTGATATTGTTGCTTTTCATTTATTTCGGTAGCTACTATATAAGTGAAACATCATTGATGGTAATCTTATTTCAATTCCATATCTCACCCAAACTAGCATACTGGACCAAGAACTTCCACTCTCAGGAGTAATACGGATTAATCTCATAAGATGAAAATGATTGAGACAACGATTGAGTATGGATTCATTTTTATGTCGTGTCCTTCCTCTTCTAGGGAAATAAATCTTACAAACCTAATGACCTGTCGTGCTTCAGGTCAAAGACAGACTAATCAGCAATCCATCGATGTATTAGATTGTCCAACAAGGGCTGCCAAGCAGTCCTTCTAGGCTGGCACACTTTTCAGAGATGTTAACTCGACGTCCGTTAGGTACGTCTACTTTTGCAAACATGTTTGCAGCTAGTATATAATCTCGTCACTTTAGCTAGATTAGAGGAATGTGTCTAGGGCAACATTATGAAAGCTAGAATTCATTACACTTGGCTATCATACTTCAGCGGTCCGGGGATCAAGATAAGACATAGTTGACACTGTCCACGCAAATTCGCACTATTCTTCAGGAACATTGACGTTCTTGTTTCACCATAACGATGGGAATACTGTCTAATTGAAGTGACGACTAGCAAATAAGCGATAAGGAGATCATTTACAATGGCTTTAAAGAGCTAGTACAAAGGAGAATCATAATCGACAAAGATTCACATTTTTCTTTGAAGACCTATATTGGTACGTTGCAGCGGCGCAGTTTGGTACATAAAATGCACACCTAAATGTGTAAGTATGAAGCTTAGGTTCATACCAAGTAACCAACTGTAACGCTATAAATGGTTTAGTGGCAATGGGCCTTAGGCAGACCAACATGGCTGCATGCAATATTACATAGCCCTACACAGAAAAACCAGAAGTTTAATGTGCTCATTACCAAGGTCTGTACGATCATTTAAAGGGTGTTTATGATCGTTTTCTACTAGACTATTTGGGTGTGAACATAAGGAATCAAAAGTTCAACTTATGTACCCAAGGGAAATGCAATAACCATTGAATTTGTCGATGTAAACTTTGTGACATTATCAAGTTTCTAGACTTCATAGATAATCGGGGTGGTGAGCCCACAACCTAATAATTGGTGTCAAGAGTCTAATAAAGTAGCATTGAGTGGGACAAACATGCGACCAATATGTTGATACATCATCGCAACCATAAATTAATTAAATGGTCGGCATATTGGTTGGATTGGTCAACAAATATTCTCTTGAATCCATTGTAGAAAAGATAAGGGATTCATAAGGATCGTTATAGTACATAGGCGAGTAATTAACTTGGCTAGTAAGTATCTTAGTAGCTGGGTAGTTATTTTCTTGCCCAATAAAGATCGGTGATCATTGCTTGGCAAGGTATGATGTCTTATATGCTGGTAAGGAGATGTCCTATATGGTGCATCATCTATCAACCTGGAAGTCCTAGATGTTCGTGCCACAACAAAAGTTCCTTTGGAATCTTGGACTTCTAATCGGCCACATAGTGGGTCTCTACGATGCAAATGGTTGTGATGTACAATCCATTCAAACATCATAACCATTCAGGAGGCATTCCATCTTTTCTAGAATACACTTCTGGCCATATTCGTAGGAAGTTATGTAAATGAATTATACTCCATTTTTTACTGTGGTTTCAATATGGTAATAGTTCTCTCGAATATCCTTAAAGCATAAAAAGTGTTATTTCGGAACAAAGTGACTATAAGGCTTCCCTTATGGTAAAATTAGTACGATTGGAGCACCTACATACTTACCTTGGTGCCTTTCACACTAATGACTCAAGACCAATCACTTTCTATTGAGAGTAGACATAGTATGTGCTAGTCTTACCAGATTGTCAGTGCTCAATTGGGAATCCTATGATTAGGAATGTTGAGGATATGTGTATGAAAAAGAAAGGTCTCCTGAATCAAACTTCTTAAGATTACATTCATTTTATTACACATTTTCTGGATTTATTGTTTAGGCGTATAACATTTAATAAGATGGCTTTAAACAAATAATCATTGCCATTAGGTTAATAGGTGAAATGTTGTAAAGTATCATCTCATGACTGGCCTTTACGGCACATTTCTAACATGTATAGGTCTGAAACCAATGTCATATATTTTCATTAATGAATACAATGATCCTTAAAATACTAAAGAGCTGCAGTTCAAAAAAAAAATAAATAAATAAATACACTAAAGAGCCTGTTAGCTTGTTAGATATTTTTGGAAAGTATGGAATTTCGAAGGAAAGAGAGACCATATAAAATATTTAGTGTAGATTGTCCGTCATTTGTTAAAAAAAAAATATATTTACTCAACAATTTTCCCATACTCAACTCCCTCATGCACACTAAATTAATTTTTTTAGTTTTTCTATTTGTATCACATTTACCAACCACGTTATTGACCACCTCATAGGTGAGGCTTAACGAGGCGGTTAACAATACGATTAGTACATACATATATACAAATGTTCCCGGAAATTGAGTAGGAAATTGAGAATACAAACTTTTATTGATATATTTTAGGGTAAAGTACAAAAAACTACCTCAATTATTGGTGTCATGACACTTTCATACCTCATCTTACGAATTTGTGCCAATGTTATACCTTCCGTTAGCCTGCCGTTAATTTGTCAGTTACATGCTGACGTGGCTTGATCCAGACCTCACTTTCTATTAAAAATTAAAAAAATTAAAAAAAAATTAAAAAAAAATCGTTTAATATTTTAAATATTAAAATAATAAATAAAAATTGAAACAAAAAAAAATGAAAAAAATCAAAACCTTCCCATCCACCCCCCTCCCCCCTTCTCTCTCTCCCCATCTTCTTCTTCCCTGCGTGATTCAACCAAAAAAAAAAAATATTTGCCCCAACCCCCCGAAGAAGAAGAAGAAGAAGAAGAAGAAGAAGAAAAAAACCCCAACCCAGTTCGTCCCTCCCCCCAAAAAAAACAAACCTAGTTCGTCCCCCCCCCCCCAAAAAAAAAAACAAATCCAACCCCTTGCCAAACCAGAAAGCAAAAGAAGGAGGAGGAAGAAGAAGAAGAAAAAAAAAAAAAAAACCCAGATCCCGTTCGCCGATTCCGCGAGGGGTGGGTGGGTGCCGAGGGTGGATGCGAGGGGAAGACGAACTGAGATTTTTTTTTTTTTTTTTTTTTTTTTGGGTTGCAGGTAGGGGCTCGGGTGGGGGGGGGGGATGGGGGAGAAGAAAGAAGGACGCGCGAGGGGGGGGAAGGGTGGGAAGGGATAAAGTTTTTTTTTTTTTTTTTTCTTTTTCTTCTTTTGTTTTCTGGGTTGCAGGCTTGCAGCAGGGGGGATGAGGGAGAAGAAAGAAGGACGTTGGGGGGGGGGGGGGAAGGGTGGGAAGGGATAAAGTTTATTTTTTATTTTTATTTTTTCTTCTTTTGTTTTCTGGGTTACAGGTTTACAGCAGGGGGTGGGGTGGGGGGGATGGGGGAGAAAAAGAAGGATGCGGGGGGGGGGGGAGGAGGGTGGGAAGGGATGAAGGTTTTTTTTTTTTTTTAAACTTTTCTTTATTATTTTAATATTTAAAAAATATTAAATGATTTTTTTTTAGTTTTTAATAGTATTTTATTAATTTTTTTTTAATAAAAAGTGGGCCCTGAATCATGACACGTCAGCATTTAACTGAGAAATTCACGCCAAGCTAACGGAAGGTATAACATTGACACAAATTCGTAAGATGAGGTATGACATTGTCAATTTTAAAAGATGAGGTATGAAAGTGTCGGGACACCAATAGTTGAGGTAGTTTTTTGTACTTTATCCTATATTTTATTTTCATATAAGAGCTTTCTGTCCATCAAATCCATACAACACAAGTAAAAATATAATTAAGAACACAGGAAAGGAAACAAAACAAAAAGGGCAAGAAATATCAAAATGGTAACAATTGGAAGGAAACTAGAGTAGCCAGAAGTACATTAGAAATGACTCGGTGTAATTTGGGTTCGTTTCGATGTCCAAACCCCTTAGCTGTGCAAAGGACTCGACCTTCCCCTTCAAAGTGTGAAGCTCCCTTAGTCTGCATTGATAGGAAACACCAAAACTTAAAGTTAGGCAACACACAACACAGCCAAAACACATTGTAAAGAATTATTTACTGAAATGCTCTCTTGCCAAACAATCTTATGTTGTCAAATTGAGAATCCGGATCGCTATTATTATATTATACATAGTCACAGTCTGTAAAGACAAGTATATGTCTGGCAAGAGATTAGTACTTATGTTATCGTTTTTGTCCTTTTCGTAAACTTGTATACAATTGATTTGTGATCAACGTCCAACTTCAGAAGGAAAACCAACCTTGCAATCTCTGCACGTCTCCTGGCTTCTTCAGCCATGATGCTAACATCCCTGAATGTGTGCCTCTCAGGAATGTTCTTTGCCTCCACAGATGGGAGGCCATGGACCGTCCGCTGTTCTGCCGCCCATGCAGCCTCGCGGAACTCTTTACCAAAGTCCTTTTGGGTGTTAAAAGCCGTCTACAAAATTATACAGATGTACATTGCAATGCTGTTAGAATGTGTAATAAAAAATGTTTTAAGTTCAAAATTGTTAAGAGATGGAAGGTTCAGTTCACTCACTCTCTTGTTTAATACCAAACTCCAAGCCCTCCCACTGAGTGCATATCGAACAAAAATCTTGACAGGATCAAGTAGCATGTAGATTAGAATGTTGTATATCCATACGATACCACACCATTTCCAGCCGATTGCTTGAATTCTAGCAAATTCCCATGTTGCTACAGCAGATATTAATGTAGCAATCTGCAAGGATCAGAATTTTTTATTTTCAAATGTGAATTACATGTTAGTTTAATATAAAGACTAAAGTTTCTGAGCATAACTAAGTATATAAACATCTTCCTATGTGTTGAATTTGATGAATATGAAACAATATTGAATGCTATTCGATTGAAACAGCATGAAACCACTTACCAGTTGAGCAATTACAAAAGCACTAAGAAGAAGCAGACCAGGTACTTCCAGGAATGACCATCCTCGGGAGCGTGTGACAAAAATTAGAGCCTGGCTGATGGTGCTAACTTGAAGGTACAGAGCAGATGATAGCTTGGCAATCATTCCCGGATTGAGGGTCTTATTGGTATAATAGAGATTCTCGTTGAAGATATCTTCTACACCGAATTTTTTCAGCAAGAGAGAACGAGAGAAGGTGAAAACTTGATCATTGTCATCAAGTACAAAATGTGAGCTCCTAACAATTTCATCTATGCCAAAAGTAGAACAGAACGAAGTAACACATAATTAAGAAAAGAAACAATTACCGGAAAAAATTTAGTATCGTAAATGATCGAGAAGAATATAACTGTGGTAACGGCAAGATAACTGCCTAACACAATCCCGGTTGCAAAGATTTCACTCAGCTTCCAACTGTCAGGAACTGGAGATGGCTTAACCCTGTCTTTGGAAATCGTCATAATATTACCTGGGAAATAGCTCAAAATTTCAGAAATATTTTTGGAAACAAGAAGGGAAATAAATGAAAGATGAGTAGGAAACTGAGAATTCACACTCAAGAAACCCTATTACGGACAAGAGCAACACATGATAGAACGTAAAAGATTAGTAATGCTTACCATCATTAAGAATCGCAATGATTAGGACCATAAAAGGAGGGAAATCAAATTTCCAGAATACCGCTAGCAACAAGAAACCTAGCTGTAAAACAAACCCAGTTAGAAATGAGAACTCACATTACAGCGTCCTTAGATGTCAAGTAATCTATTTATCAAAGAGATTGAGGGATACTTACCACAATACGTATTGTTATAGATACCGCGTATATCTGAAAAAGGAAAACAAAATCAACACAGTTACGGAAAACAACCCCCAAAATTTAGTAGCAGGCGCACTTACAGGTTCAGTTCCAAAAGGAATTAAGAGGAGAGGATCGCCTTACTGTGTAATTCTTCATTCTTTGAAAGATCACACGGCTTGTCAAAACAGCACTAATAATCACACTCAAATCAGGTTCTGTCAGTACTATATCAGATGCGCCACAAGCTGCATCTGTGGCATCGGCGACAGCAATTCCTATGCCTGCTTTCTTCAATGCAGGTGCATCATTGACTCCATCACCAGTCATTCCGACTATGTGCTTCTTACCTTGCAATCGCTGCACGATCTCAAATTTATGTTCTGCAATGAAGAATCAAATCAGACAAAAGCAATGCAAAATTGACTAGCAAAAGTTGCAAGCTGTAACAAACAGGATTACCAGGAAATACACCAACAAAACCATCAGCATTCTCAATGAGTTCATCAATTGCTAGAGTTCCATCTATGCTATTCTTATTTTCACCAAGCAATGCTGATGATGGATACATGTTTGTGCCCATCCCAAGTCGTCTCCCAGTTTCTTTTCCAATTGCCAGTTGATCCCCTGTAATCATTTTAACACGCACACCCAGATCTAGAGCTCTTCTAATTGTTTCAGCACTGTCATGACGTGGTGGATCAAATAGGGGAAGAAGACCGACGAACTCCCAAGGTCCACCAGGACTGTCTTTCGTACCAGCAGGAACTTCCTGTAAATTATATCTCTTGTCATCCATAATGCTTCAGAAAAGCATACATCCAGGAGTGGTTGTTAAAATCTTGTTAATTACCTGCTGCACAACAGCAAGGGAACGAAGTCCACGCTCTGCGAATTTTTCAATTACTGTGTGTACCCTTTTTTCAATTTCTGATTTGTTGCTTGCCAAATTGAGTATCTACAAATTACACAGAAAATTTATTTTGAAACTCAAGCCATTTTTAAATGTGAAGGACTAAGAAACAAGAGATTTAAAATTGATAGATTAAGTACCTGCTCTGGTGCACCTTTGCTCAGTCTGTGCATGTTACCAGTTGTGTCTATGTATGTAAGTGCTGTCCTTTTATCAGTTGGATTGAATGGAAGGAAGTGAACTTCTGTAATCCCCGCTCGAGCCTTACAAATGGACAAAAGAGAAACTCAGCTCATGGAAGCTTTAGTTAAGAAAACACATTAATGCATATGCAAGTTTGGAAACTGTAGAGAACAAAAATGTCTAATTTCTCGAAAAGTTTCAAATTTAACAGCTTCCCAAATTACGTGACGTGCTATATCTATTTTTGCACAGAAACATCATTCTTTTCCTGGCGTAATACGATAGTGTAATTATGCACTTCTTATGTACAACAATAGCACTGATATTGGAATTGTGTGGAATGCTAAATTGAAATTTGAAACGCTTAATCAGGTCCTATTTTTCTCGAAAAGCTTCAAATTTAGGACCCTAACAGCTACATAAACATTTTGTGTCATATAGTCTACTACCTCCTTAGGATCAGCTAGCATGGCAACAATTGCTGCATCAATAGCATCTTGATTTTCCAATCTTGAAGCTCTTGCAGCCATCAATACAACCGTGTCCTTTTCAACACCTTTGGCGAAGACCTGCAAATGGAAGTGCTCATCAAACCAATGTTGGTATAATCGAATAATGGGGTTCAATTTTTCTCTGTAAACAAGAAGTTTCCTTTTAACCATACGACAGGATCAAGATTATCACCTCTACACGAGACAAGGTGAAAAGGACTAAAGCTTTTCGTGACCAAGAAAGGCTTAAACACACTTTGAAGGAGCTTGAGGAGAAGACTTACCCATTCTACAACTCCGATGTGGCTGCTATGTTGAAGGACTTGCTCGATAAGAAGGTGATCAATTTACCCGAGTGCAAACGACCATAAGAGATGAATCACACCGACAACCCAAGATACTGCAAGTACCACCACGTCATTAATCGTCCGGTGGAAAAGTTCTTCGTGTTGAAGGATCTCATCATGAAGCTTACCTAAGAAGGAGTTATCGACCTAGATCTTGATGATGTGATAGAGTCAAGCCATATCACCGTCACTTGTGGCTCTTTTGACTCAACATCTTCGCCTTGATCACTGAGGGTGTGCTCCAAAACCATGCTACTCAAGCTAAGCGAAGTTGAAGGATGGACTCATGTCACTCAAAAAAAAAATCATGCAAGAAGCATATCCTTGTCCATAAGTTGACGAATCAAGGAAGAGGCAAAGAAGCTCTCGTCTACCTCCAAAGTGGCATGGAATACTTAAAGATGATGAAACTTTGATACAAAGATCGTTCATCCACATCACAATGTGCGATTTCTTCCTTGAAGACTTCTTCAAACAACCGATCAAGACTCCTTGCAATGAAGTCCGCGAGGAACACCTCTCCAAGATCGCTTGACAAATTCACATCAAACTTTCTTCGCCTGGACGAGCTGAAACTGCAAATTGCACCAAATCTACACCAAATGCTCCTCATCTGCACAAGCATAAAAGGCGACAACCAAAGCTCCTGGTTCGTATGAGCCTAAAAAGGCGACAACAATAGCTCCTTGCCCGCAAGAGCCTAAATGACGTATGGCACCAAAAAAAAAATCATTTGAGCTAAAAACCTAAAAGGGCGACTCAAGCAAAAGTTAGGACACACACATAAGAGAAAAAAGAAAAGAAAAGAAAAAAAGTATGTTGAGTTGAAAACCCGAAAGAGCAACTCAATCAAAAGTTCGGACACCCAAAAAAAAAAAAAAAAAAAAACAAACACACAAACAAACATGTTTGAACTACATGATGACTTAATCCCTCCCCAAAATAAGGGTATGTAGGGAGATCGAACTCTTAACTTCGAGTTCAGTCAGATAAAAAAAAAAAAAAAGTAGAGGTTCGAACCTTTAAGATGACGATGCAGGATCAAGCCATTTCTCCGAGACTGTCTTTGGAGTTATGCCGCTGAGCCTTGAGCAAGCCTTCCAATGCCTTCAATGCATCAATGTCTTCCAAGGACGTGCAAGCGGCAAGAAGCAATGTGGAGCAGAAAGTCCCAAAGGCGGTGCGGTTGCAGAGACGGTGTGGTCGCAATCATAATGTGCATCAGAGGCAATGCAGTCCCAGAGGGGGTGCGGGTGTAGAGGTGGCACCTGCAGCAGTGGCAGTCAGCAGCGATATCATAGCTTGTCTTCATAGCTGCATCACAACTTGTCGTCACATCAGCTCGTCCTCGCAGGCAGCGGCGTGTCCTCCTCTTCACAATGGCAACACAGCTTGTCGTCACTGCGGAGCAATGTGTCCTCATCTTCACAGGCAACGACAGTACATGCACTCTAGCGACTTCCTTGCAGCAGCGGCAGTACATGCAGTCCAATGACTTATTTCCTTGGGCGAGCAGCCTCCCTTGCAGCGAGCACACTCCCTTGCGATGACCAACCTCTCTTGCGGCAGTGTGTGCATTTCAGCGACTCCCTTGCAGCAGCGGCAGTACGTGCAGTCCAGCAACTCCCTTGCAGCAGTGCAGTGATGGCTGTGCAGCGAGCAGTGCAGCGACGGCATGGCAGAGAGCAGTTCAGCAACAGCAGGGCAGCAAGCAGTGCAGCGATGGCATGGCAGCGAACAATGCAGTGGTTGTGCGACGGCAAGGCATGAGCAATGCATCGGTTATGCAGCGACTGTGTAGTGGCTATGCATTGGCTGTGCGATGGTAGAGAAGTATAGCACCGTCGCAAAACCAATGCTGAAGGCTGCAGTAAACTCAAAAAATGGAACAGCCACCTACGGTTGGAAACTACGCTTATAGATGATGTGCGTGCTCGAGAGGCAGCGGCAACAGCAAAAGAAGACGAAGATGGCACCAGCAGACGTCGCAGAAACAATGTCGAAGGCCGGTGCAAACCCCAAAAAAAAAGGAACCGCCACCTATGGTTGGAAACTGCGCTCGAAAGCGACCTTGAGCGGAAAAACACATCAGAATCCGAGAAGCATAAATCCGGAAAGTGCGTTCACCTGTAGAAAACAAAACAAAAAATGACCAGGACAAAATGGCACCAATATGCACCAAGTTGGAATCAAAATATAAATATGGATGGTGATGTCTGAGTAAATGGTCCGCATGCAAAGCCATGAAAAAATAAAGGTGGGGTCCGCTTACAAATTCCATACGCAGTTGGCATAGTTGTGCCAAAAGTTGAAGGCACATGATGTTAGGGCTTCAGAGCTTATTTCCACCGCTAAAGCATGGTGGTGCTGGGCGTGAAAGCATATCGACATTAGAAGGCTATTTTGCATCAGGGGAAACCACTTCGCAATTTCGTCTCATTGGTTGTGACAGCGGGAGTCGTCCGTCGCCTTGGTAGATTACTAGACCCCCACTTCACACTTCACAGCAACGTCAATTTGTTGGTGGCGTAGAAGCGGCAATCGGTCTGTCATCACCGTTGTTTTGTTGAATCATCAAAGCTTGTCCTCCCCCTCATAAAAGCAGCGGCTGTCTTTTATAAGGAACTCACTTCGCCGCAACGTACACTCACGGGGGCATACCTATCAGCCGCAATACCGCAACTATCAACATTGTTGCCTCCGTTGAATCGTCGAAGCATGTCCGCCATCATGGGTTTGAGTCTTCGACATCGCCGTTACTTTGCAGAGACAAGAAGTTGTCACTTCTGCTTTGTGCTCGCACTCGGTACAGACGACATCTCCACCAAATCATGCATTGATGTGGTTACCTGCAACATAAAAAGAAAGAAATTAAAAAAAAAAAAAAAAAATTTCAACATTAAATCGACGATCACGGAAGATCCCAAGTGACATGAAGATCACGGAACCCGTTGCTCTTCAGGAATCTGCTGTCTAAGGTTGGACGGTGCTCTTCGAAGGGGAATCAAACGGCAACAATTTTCGAGTCGTAGAAATTAAATGGCGGTTGTCATTCCAGTTACGCTGCCTTCGGAAGCTGCAGGAAACGCAGCCCACTCCCATCTCTCCGACAGCAGCAAGCAACCAGAGCACCAGCGTTCGAAGCTGCGGATTCGTTTGTGAAGAGCTTTGCCCAGCTTATGCCCAATATAATGGGAAGAAAATCATCACAGAAGTCAACCCTAATCTAATTCTGCAAATTGGGAAAGGAAACTAGTAGCACAAGTGGCATGATTTTTCGTCAAAATTAGGAACGAAGACGTGATTTCCGTCTGAAATCATGAATGAAAGGCCGTGCAGAGCAGAGGGAAATCAGGAAAAAAAAAATAATCATAAAAGCATTGATGGTGCCTTGTGGAAAGCAGACAAAAAAATTGTAAAATAATAAAAGCCATCATTGCTTTGAGTGATGGTGCCGTCTGAGTGTGTGTAAATATATGTGTGTGTATATATGCATACAAACATGCCTCAAAGTTCATGGTAATATTTATTTTAACGAAAAATCATATTTTTACATTAAAATATCAAATTTAGTACTATTCATTTTACTCTTTATTTTGTCCTTATCGTTAAAACTCAAAGTTTTCAAGCTCTTTTCATTAGTTTTCTTATAAATATATTTATATGTGTAGGATGGCACAAAGCAGCATGGCGAGCTTAATTGGATCTTTCAAATCAAGTCCAATTCTTTGCCTATAATTAGGCGCTCGTTCATGAGTGAGGAAAAAAAAGGATGCAAGATGAAGCTCTAAACATCTAGAAATCCCTCAACCACGACCAAATTCAAATCTAAATACCCAACATGTATGCTTTTCATCAAGCTTGAGGAGAATCAATAAACACATCAAATACATGCCTATTCATCCCCAACAAAGTCGAAGATCACCAGTCGCATGATACTAATCGTGGTCCTGATTGTTCAAGATCAAGCTTCGACGACCATTGAAGAAATCATACGTCTGATTCAAGATCAAATGTGCACCACCCTTAAATCAAATTAGACTTCATAAAGCTCTCTGGCCAAAACAAACACTCGTGTTCTTCATCAAGCTCGTGAAGAGTCAACAAGCATAGCAAACATGTGCTGATTCATCCACTACCAAAGCCGAATATCACCAAACACTTGAAGCCGCTCGTGGTCCGTTTTGTTCAAGACCAAGCCTTAACGGCACTTGAAGAGACTTCCAGCCTAATTCAAGATCAAGCATCGACGGTCCTTGAATTGACATCTAGATTGAGCAACTTCAAAGCATAGTGGTCAAATACATTCACTATGTGCAGGACTTCAAAACACATCTTCTACACGTGACAAGCACATGTATACAATGCATCTTGAAGTGGGGGCATTTGTAGACATCGAAATTTTTGTGAAAATAAATATTCACCGACACATTAAATTTTGTCTTGTGAGGGCTTACGTGGCATGTTTCATATGTCTCACAAATAATACACATGGCATATGACTCATCAAAACTGGATAAGTCATCAAGAGGACAGGTGGCGACATTTGGCAGAAAATAGTTAAAGAATTATCTTTATTAATTCTTTAATTAATTTTAATTTAAACAAACAAATTAATTGATTTAAATTAATTGATAGAGTCAAATCACAAACCAAGACACAAATCAAGTCTTGGTTCTTTCATAGGCAAAGCTTGGAGAGTCTATAAATAGAAGGCTCCAATAAAAAGAAAAGGGTCCAAAAAATCATTCACACCCATACACTGAAGCTTTGAAACTCTAAAACTATCAAGCACTCAAACCCCCCAAACACTCAACACTCAAG